GTAGCTGCCCCGGCCCTCTGGAATGAACTGCCCCCTGAAATCCGGACCCTCCCCACTCTCTCGGCCTTCCGAAAGTCTGTTAAGACCTGGCTGTTCCGGCAGCCCCACCAAGATCGAGTGCATGTTGTGTCCTGTTTTTAATTTGTTCTGTTTTATATTTTAAATTTTTAATATCTTCTTTTTTAAAGCTGTCTTTTATGTAAGCTGGCCGGAGTCCTCCGGGATTGGGCGGCATACAAATCTATTAAAATTGACAAATTAAATTGACAAATATAAGTCTAACTGCTATTGCTATTGCTAACATAGAGGCAGCATTGGTACCCTCTCTTGCACATCAGAACACCTACAAATGAAAACCAGAAACAAGTGCTGCCACAACTTCGTAAGTCAGGAGCAGAAGCAACTCCTTGCTGCAGGATGCTTACCTGGCCATCGCAGAGGTCTATCAGAGGTGCCTTCTCTCGTGCAGCTTTAATCAGTTTGCTTTGAAAGAGTTTCCCATCAAAGTAGATCCATGGGCAGCAATGCTCCCAGGGCACAGGCTGCCCACAAGCATCATTGGCCAAAAGGGCCGTGTCCACTCCACTCATAAACAGAGCAGCCAACTGAACTCCTCGGGGATCCAGTTTCTCAATCTGCAAGGAAAGCAACATCCCTTTACTCCTTCCCCCTCTGTCGTCTGGCCTTCGTGACCACGATCCAGCTTAAGTGTCTTTATAAGGCAGGATACGGTGATACTACTATTTCTGTATTAAAGACAGCAGTGTTAGAGGCAGCACAACCCATGCCTCTGTACCTTATAATCATATTGAGCCCTGGGGGTGCGGTGATTAGAGTGCAGTACTGCAGGCTACCTCTGCTGCTGCCTGCAATTTAGCAGTTCGAATCTCACCAGGTTCAAGGTGAACTCAGCCTTCCATCCTTCCAAGCTCAGTAAAATGAGGACCGAGATTTTTGGGAGCAATATGCTGATTTTGTAAACCGCTTAGAGTGGGCTGTAAAGTGATATATAAGTCTAAGAACTATTATTATGGCTATGTTATTATAACAGAAAAGTATAAACCTCCAATTGAGCATTTATTTCACATAAGCAAGTTTGTCTATAATGGCCAACATCCATCCCAGAGACATTTAAGTATTTATGTCATGCGGAAGACAAACTACAATACACCACAGTGGCTATGGGTTACCCTGCTTACTTGCTCCAATCATAAGGTCTACTGGCGTGAAGCACATTTCCCCTCCAGGGAATGTTCAGCCAAGACGGGGGAAGAAAACAGCATTTACTTCAAGAAAAAATCCTCTTAAGGCCGAGGTCAGGTCTGTTCAATATTTCCACCCTTTTCAGCATCGCCCAGACAACACCTGGGGCCATTTAGTTCCTCTGCGCTGAACATGTACTTCGGAAGCCCTTTCATCTTAGTACTTCTTCTTCTTTAAAACTGGCCTAACTACCCACCTCTAATGAGGCCATGCCTCATTTTGAGAGAGAAAGTGATCTAATACACCTGTTTAGAATATGCACAAGGGATCATCCAGTTTCATGGAGTCCCTTACAACCTTTATCTTAGAATTAATGAGTAGGCTTTCTTCCAGGACCAATGGCACAGTACTGACCTTCAAGCAGAACTTTTAAGGAAAGCAGGACTGATGACAGTCGAAGAAAGAAGGAAGGGGTCAAGGAATGTTTTTACTTCTACTAAAAATGTTACAGCATTTGTCATGTAGCATCTCAAAATGCTGTCCTTGCTACAGCTCTCTGTGTCTCCTTTAAGCAACTGCGCATCAAATGTAAGAATTCCAATACCATTTATGCAGATTTGTATTTCAGTTCAATGACAAAAAGAGTACCCTGCAATATAGGAGAACTACAACCTCTTCCTTGTCCCCCACACCTTGGTTCTCGATGTGCGAGGAGCTGTTCTTTACAGACAAGCATTTCATCATATGAGCAAATTTACCTGCTCTTAATCAGAACAACTGGATTAGTAAGATGAAGTTTGAATAGGAACCTGGGAGGGTTGAGATACCAAAGCAACATGNATCACTTGGCCCCACAATCATCATAAATACATGCCAGTGTCTGAATTTTGATCACATCACCATTCTCTGAGAAAAACTTACTTAAAACTTTCATTGAATTTAGCTTGCCCCTTCCCAAAGAATAAGGCTGTCTGTTTGTTCTAGAATACCTTAGAGGTATTGCCTACATTATAATAAACATGATAAATGATAGAATGTAAACCATCAACTCTAATCCAATTGTTAGACTACTGTTATGCATAATTTATAACATAATGAACTTGTAGTTTGATAAACAGAAGTCTGTTTAATTGTGCTTTTACTTAACCAAGCCTCTTGGTTACTTGTGCTCCTAAAAATTATTGCCTTTGGCAATTGGATTGAGAAATTTATAACCGTTGAAGTTTTCCCAGTGGGGCCACATATAATTACTGCATAAATTCAGACAAGTGGGAGTTTATTTTTGCAAACTTATTTTCAAGTTGGCTTAAATCGTATATAACAGAACTGAAAATATGATGAAGAATGAGAATGATTCAGAAATAACTTCTCGGTATAATCTTGGTTTATACTGTATAATGGCAGGGAAATGAAATATAGCATGGGCATTTACAGTATTTTACAACTGTAAAAAATGACACTTTGGAGTACAGTGTGTCTTAACAAGGCTAAAAATAAAGATAATGTTTGCCTTAATAGATGTTACAAATATTGATTTACTTCGAACTAATAATGTTCATCAATCCAGTGAGAGGCCTTTTTTTTGTTTTTTGGTTGAAACTGAGCGATACAATCTGGATTTTCTATATATCCCTTCTTCTTTTCCTATCCCTCTCTCATTCCCCCCAATTATGAACAGTGCTTCGGTGATAATATTTTCTGTAGATAGGCTAGCAAAAATGGGAATCATGGAATCAATGTTTAAATATAGTTTGATTTTTTAATTAACAATCCACTCCCTGTATTGCGGCTCTCCTTCTGCATTGCTCGTTTTTCTTGGCTTCACTTGCTTTTAATTATAATTTAAAGAGGACAGAACCTAATTTATGTTTTCACTGAAACACAGAAGGTTTTCTCTAGATTCATGAAGGAACGATATATGTACAGTAAGACGCTTTCTGGGTGAGGAATTATAGGCAAATATAAACTATGGTTTATGATCTTCTGTTTGATAATCTGATTGAGTGGCTGTGTTACATGTATATTGTTTTTACCCCCAAGCTATTACTCAGCAGATTTGTTGTAAGAAGACCTGATCTTTTCTCTCTTTTGTCATCTTATTGATCACTTTCGTTTATAAAACTACCTGTGCAAGGCCTTGGTTACTGTTCACAGTCTTTTCAGAATTTAAGCTCCTAAATTATTCTCCCCAAATTCCTAAATATCCCCCAACATTCCATCGCTGCTCAAAATTAAGATGCTGCCATTATAATGGAGGGATGGCTGAGACAAGTTACATGTATTAGAATTTCAAATTTATTAGAGTGTTCTGGGCATCATTAGATGTATGATCTAACAGTTTTAGATACAGTATGGACGAAGTCAAACTATTCTGCTTTTAGGCAATTCCACAGGCAGCGCTCCACATGGGGCTGCCCTTGAAAAGTGTTCGGAGACTACAATTGGTCCAGAATTGAATTGAATTGAATTTATTTCATTTATATGCCGCCCTTTTCCCC